TTATTTTCATGTTTTGTGGGAATGCGCGGCCCTTGATGGATACTGCAGATGCAGCCGAGTTGCTCTTGAGTTCTGCCCTTGTCATCATCTTCTGCTCTTATTTTGTAGCACCTCCAATGTTATCCGCATCAGGAAATTGCGTTTTACTTGTATTTGAGAGCGCAATTAAAGGACTTGGCAAAGTGCCAAGGAGCCGCACGCGACAGGCGCGCTTGCAACGGGATGTTATCTAACGCGGAATCTGCGGCCGTAAAAAGGCAGATGGGTGGACATGGAAGAATAGCGTGTTTCACGCCTGTAGTCTGCCGATTCCCGGCAAGTTTGGGCGGGGGGACGTACGACAGCATCGACATCTGCGGGCTTATAGTCCATACACCCTCAGTGTGGTAAGGAGCGTACTGATGTGTGCTTATTTATCCCTGTTTAAGTAAGCGTGCATACAGGGGGGGTGCAAAAGAAAGACACTTTCTTCCTCAGACTTTCAATGAACGCAATAGTACAAATTGGTGAAATCCGATTGAAACAGTTCCACCAATTCACAGCAACACGCATGCCACACGTAGGCACGAACTCCGCTCAAGCTTCCGGACGAACGCATCGAGAGATTCCTGCCACGCTAACTTCGGTGATTCGGTGGCCTGAGTCTAGCGCGAGGTGTGTTGATTTGTTTCGCTAGTACAAGGACCACCCCTGTCGAGCTCGGCCTACGCGCGCGCCGCCCAATGTCCAAAGTAGGCGAGAGTTTTCTCGAAGCGCCTTCTATTCCGTTGTGGGCGACCGCAGGCTGTAGGCTGTACTGAAAGTTTGCAAAATGTGAAGGCCGATGACATGAAGGCAGGATATGACTCCTCGAATGGGTCGATGTAACCGGCATCGCAGCGTTCACGATTTTAGTCCGGTGCACTGAACAAAATATATCGGTTCTCTTGCTTTCTCCAGGAAAAGCTTTCGGTCCTACCATCAACGACCGCGTTCTTGCAACTGCGGTAAAGATGGCTTACTGCCAGCCGTAGCGATGTTGTCGGAGCGCTGCGGATGTTTTGGAGGTTTCCAGATCGAGAGTACTGTTCTCCAGGTAGCTGTCCATGAGTGACTCCATTCAAGAAGTTTCGCAGCTCTTTGGAGGTTACATGAGCTCCAAAGGGCGACTTTCATATCATTGGGGTAATTGAAGGTGATGGAGCAAGAGGCCTGCTTTGCTGGCTTGACCGTCACATTTGGGTAAATCTTCGGCCCTGGTACGGGTATCCACGTCTGTCTTCTGCTAACCTGGGCTGCGTAAACTTACGGTGAGTATGTGACTCGTCGAATATCTTTCTTGGCTTCCTCCTGTATATTCCCAGTTTTAGCCGGCGATGCCAATTGAGACCTCACTTGTTTCTTTTCCTGATGGGTGGTTGGAGGCGGCAAAGTTCAGGGAAAACTGGGCAACGTGGTTGGATAGGCAGTGGGGTCAAGGAGGAAACTGAGGGTCCGCAAAAAATGTCCAGATGCGCCGGACGTGTGCGCATATCTACACGGTTCATTTTATTTCTATTTTAATTGCTGCTGCCCCTAGGTGCGCTGTGGCATAGAACATGTTGGCTTAATGGCTTTCATACAGTAGCTTTACATCACTCACTCAGCTTATGGAACTGGCCATCTTCAGGGCCATAGAACTGGTAGCCAACGAGGTCGGTGGAGGTCAGTAACTAAGGCCTGGCTTAGGAAGACGGCATCTGAATTAACCGTCCGCAACCGTTTTGATTTAGGCACCCTACATTATAGCTTGCATTTTAAAATTACTATTCTAGAAGCGGGGTAAAAGGACGGGGATTCCGGCAACGGTCATCGTTCCAGAACGCCGCCATCGCAATACTCTACTCCCGGGTGTTTGGATCGTAAGTGGCTTAGAAATACGATTCCATAATTCCTTATTGGGGCACCCTCAGCTTGGTAACAGATTTGTCTGGGAGGATAAAAACATCGACTTATGCACAGACTGCTCCACGGAAATGATCGTTTATGTGAGATCTTGTTCGAAGTGTTCCCTAGTGGGAGCAGAAACGGGATGAATTGCCTGGAGGAGTAGAACACGCTGGAAAGGTCATCCTTTGATCCTATTCCTTTTTTATTCTTCGGTTTAGGATATGGGATGTAAAGGTATTACGTTGGTTCCACCGTTTACGTTATAACCCCTGTTCCGGCCAGAGAATCTAACCTGTTCGTGTCGCGTAATAAATGGGTTCGTTTTGTGAGCGCGTGCAAGAATATTGGCACTAAAGTTATGTGGATTATTGTCCATCTTTCAAGTTTCGAGCTTTAAATAGGGCTCGCACTTGGAGGAGAAGTAAGCTGGGGGGGGGAGGTGGAATTTCGAAAGCCATTCATATTCCTTTTTCTCGTTCACCTTCGCGGGCAGAACCTGGGAGATAACCATCTGATAGTGAAGCGTTTATGCTTTGTCCGAGGAATGACATCGCTGAAAGTGTAGTGGATAGGGAGAAAGGTTTTGGTTCAGATATCTGGTTTGGAATCGCCACAACAGTCCACTTCACTTGAGATCATGGTATTTTTCCAACAGGTCTCGAATCGTGCAATCACCTGAGACGGGGGGGGGCATACGGTACGCTCTAGAAGCCACATTGGTTTGTCCTGTGATTTACTCAGACGGAGCTTTATTTTATTCCAGGTCCCAGAAAGCCCAACAGTCTCAGAAATCCCACGGCTCAAGAGACGACGAAATAAGAGCATAGGAAGGGACGTATAATAGAGGAAGTGTTGAATCACTATTATTATCTTTCTAAGCGTGTGCTGTTCCAAAATACCCGACCCACGGGACACGGACTGCAAGCGCTTGTGGTCTCGCGAACTGATCAACAATTTCGCGCGCATTCTTTCGTAAAATCTTATTCATTTTTATTGGTTCCTATTCGACCCCGACGCTGGAAGGCTCATTTGGTCTCATAGGGAGCCGATCCGTGATCAAGGCACGTCTTGGTATTGAAGAACGATTTTGCAGTGCAGTGTACGCCTCTTCCCCATAGTCTGATCCTCCTTCCCCACGTCCCTTGCCACCTATCACCTTCCTAAATTATCTCGGCTTGGTTCCCCGCTGTTGTTCCGGGGTTTTATTTTTGGCATAAATCCTTAGCGTTTTCCTAAAACTGTCAACGGAGAGAGAAAGGAGAGAGAGAGGAGAGAAGAGAGAGAGAGGAGCCGCAGTTGAAAGCAGGAAAGTCCGTGAAAAGTTACCAGCCGAGAAAATTTCTTCAAGGGCTCCCTCAATGGGCACTTGTCCGGGTTTGGAAGATTCTGTAAGAAATATGATTCGCAGGTCCCTTCCAAGGATGATGAGTTTTTTGTCTGCCATTGCCGCTCGTAGTTGCGCGCCATGTTTTAGTAGAGCTTGATGTGCAACAGAAAGGAATGGGTTCAAATAAGAACGGTTTTTCAATAAAGTAAATAGTGTGTGCTTAACTGAAGAGAACACTTTGTAGTTCTGTTGACAGAGGTGCTTGAATGAAGTTGTAGAGGGCTGAAAAGATGAAGAGAGATTCTTACCGGTTATTCGCCTGGTTTTATGAGTTGTGCAGATCAGTATGCACTGAAACATTGGGGCTTATCTACAGGATTGCGAGATTTTCGTGGAAGATACAGTTATGTACCGTAGAGGCAGCAGTGTTGCAAAGCTGTGTCGCTACCACGAAATGACACGTTGGAAACATGACGTTTCTCGAACGTATAGCACCAAGAACTGTGGGCCAGTGGAAAACTGTCGAAACATTATGTACTCATTACTGCCCTCACTAGCAACACCGGTTTCCAAATTCAGACTGCAGTTTTACAGGTGGGACATTTACTAACCGGCGCTTTTTCTCAGCTGTGAATAATCGTCCAAAGCGAACATAAGTCCGTGATATTCTGACAGCCTAAACGCCGCATCTCAGAGGCGTGGGGAAATGGAAAGCGTGACGCGCTAAGCGCAGGCGCCGGAATGCCTATTTCCCGCTGACGCGCCGCACCGAAGCTTGTCTGCTTGCGGTCAAGCAGGACCGTGAATATGTGTGTTCGGGGGGAGGGATGAAGGGGGAGGGGGAACGTACACTTTGAAACAATGCCAGCACACACAAGTGTAAATGTATAGTTGTTTGACAGTCGACGTCTACGACGTGTATGTGTGGCGCATCGTACGCTGGAAATCTCCAGCGAGGGGGGGGTGTCCTATTCATTTAGAGGGGGACGTACATATTTGCCCCAATGGGGATGTTTTCGGACTGGCGGTTTCCGGGTGTTTTTCCTATGTTGAGTGTCTATGTACTTTCCCCCCACCTTCCCGCTCCGCTTTTCCTTTCCGCATTGGTTTTTGAAGAACAGAGGAAAGAGTGGAAAAATCCTTGGAACAATGCGAAAGTGTAGCAGGAACAAAGAAAATCCTAAGGGATAGGAGTTGGGTGGGAAGAGTGTATGTCGGTGCTCGTATTCAGGGGATCGAAACACCCATGGAGTGAACTTCCAACCGCTGGGGTGACTTCCGATTAAAACTGATTGGTTAAGGCTGTGAAAGGTAGCTAGTGCCATCAGTTTGTGGAAAGCGAAAGGATGACATGTTTAGCTCGTTGCGCAAATCCACGAGGAAGGGGCTTTCAAGAAATCCCTCTCCTTCATGGAACAGCGAAATGCCATAGTGGACTCTTTTCAAACAATTTTACTACTCAAGCAGTTCTGCAATTGCTCACCCCGCCCTTCCTCACCTGCTGGACTTTAGTATACTTTTCATTCAGAGGGCAATGAGAGAGGTCATTGTGAAGGAGGAAGCAAATTTTTCCCTATCTTTTTGAGTCCAACCGTTATGCACCAGTTCGCTTACTGTAATGAGATAGTTGAAGCCACGGGCCCATCTACTGGAGCCCCCCCCTCGAGTTTATTCGGAGTTCTTGAGTACAATGCATTTTTTGAAAAGTTTATTTGAAGCGTCGTCCAATTTATACAGAATATCATCACAACCAGAGCATAAGCGGTTAAGCCTTAACAACCTTCCTGGCAGCCTTAGCCCTTACTCTGCGGACCTTCTTGACTCTACGGACCCGCTTGGCCATCTTTCTGTGTCTCTTGTAGTTGCCTGAAGGAGCGCCACCGTATGTTGGTGCTGGCGACCCACTCGGTGGCTTAGATCCTGGGCTACTGTATCCTGATGCAACGGTTCCTGTTAGGAGTTGAGGCATTGCAGCAGGACTGCTGGTCTCAGCAGGAGCGCTGCTCTCTACGGGAGCACTGCTTCCGTCTCCAGTAGGGGCTGGTTCAGCAGGACCGCTAGATTCTCCTTCCATGAGCTGGCTTTCCGGCTGAGCTGAATCGTACGAAGATTCTGACCCGTACTCTTCTGAAGGAACACTTTCGGCGGGTTCATCTGAAGGGTATGCAGGTGCTGGAGCGCTGCTACTAGATGATTCTGAGCCACTATCGCTATAGCCCCCTGGTGTGGAACGAGGTGGACATGGACAATAAGCGGCATCTTTTCCAGGTGGTCCTGGGGGTCCTGGTGGACCAGGTTTACCGGGTTTTCCAGGTGGGCCTTCAATTCCTCCTGCTCCATTGGAACCTGGTTGTCCCATTTGGCCGGGGCCTCCTGGCTGTCCAATTGGTCCAGGTTGTCCCATTGGGCCAGATGGTCCAACTGGCCCACCGCAACCAGGCTTTCCATGGCCACGCTGTCCATTCTTTCCGGGTGGTCCTGGCGGTCCTGGTGGCCCAGGTGGTCCTGGAAGGGCCGTTCTCTCCACCATCTCCTGGACCTCCTGGCCCACTTACATAGCCGCCTGGGCCTGGTGGTCCTGGTTGTCCGTCCGGTCCCGGTGGACCCATTGGTCCAGGCTCTCCTGGAGGTCCTGCTGGACCTGCAGGACATTGCTGGCATCCTGAACCTGTTCCTGTATCGTAACCGGACCCGGATCCGGACATTCCTGACATTATGGAAATTCCATTAGTACCAGGTACACCTGGTTCTCCGTCTGATCCGTCGTCGCCCGCTGCTCCTGGCTCACCAGGAGGTCCAGGTGGTCCTGGTGGGCAGTCATTTGGTCCCGCTGCGCAGTCGCACGATCCACCGTTGCCGCCGTTGCCGCCGCTACTATGCTTCTTTTGTCGAGAGCGGCGTGACTTCTTGTGGCGCATTTTGAAGACACTTCTTACATGCCTGTGGGCATGTTCTTTCGTCAGGTCGATCATCTTGTCCCAGGCGGTGTTGGCATAAAGCTGAAAGAGGGGTAGTTTGGAGACATCAAGAAAGAGAGAAGGGACTTGGAAAGAAATAAGTTGTACTTACTTGGAAATCGCTCAGTTCTATCAGAGCATGATCGTGGAATTCGTTCATTTCCTTGAAGAGGTAGCCGATGAATGCAATAGCACTGAAGATGCTAATTGCAGCCGCTACACTTGTAATGCCAACGACGCTTTTGGTGAACATGCTGCGATGTGTGTTTTCTCCTGAGGCGGAAGGCTTTTATAGGAGGGACGATATGACAATAATCCATCACTTTCTGCTGCCAAGGTTTTACACTGCAAAGTCGGAGGGCAGATAAGAGGACACTGAGTTTTTTTTTGCGCGGATCGTCTAGTGTCACCCCGCGCAGGTGACTCGGTTTTTTCTTGACAGGCGTAACGATGGACCGCTGCAAAACGTTTCTTTATTCAATTTTTTTAATGGTTCGATTCGATCTCTGTAAATTCCTGATTTTTGAAAATAGTGGAACTGCATTCCACCATAGAACGGTTCCCCTATAAGGCTGAAGACAGAATTGAAGAGGGGAGAGGGGGCAGGAGAGGGGGGGGGTGAATTCTGCGAACTTCTGTTAACACCTGTGAGGCTGCAAAATAATACGAGTTTGATTTTCGTTGAACTTGCCCGTCCTTGAGCTCATCCTACCTGGTCTGAGCCAAACCTCATCCACTTCCTTGGGATGCGGCACGCAATCGACTTCTGTTCAGAATCGCGTTGATTCGCTAGAGGCGATGTGGTTTATACAGTGACTTGTGGGAAGGGGCAGCCTAGAACAAGTCATTGTTCTTATCCTCCCAAACAACTGTTGCACCAAGTTACCGTACTCGGAGGGTGTAAGGCTCGTTTGGCTAGGATGGAAGCCGTTCCATAATGTGAGTCACGCAAGCGCCATCTGATATGTCTCTGAGTGGTGATTCTGAATCCGTCCCCCACGTCTGCTGCCGACCTCCCAGAACAAACCTACAGAGGTTTTTTTAGAGGAGGACAATCAAACTTGAAACGAATCTCGGGGTAAACCTGCTTCAAGTGTAAGGCGAATGACCCTGAATTACCATCGAATTCTGGGTAGGACGTCGACCAAACAACCTTGCGCTACCGTGTGCAATCGAGGCAGCCTTGCGCCAGAATTTCGTTGAGGGTGAACATCTCAGAACCCAGGGATACATATCTGTTTGGCTGGAGCGATCACTCGCTCTGCCAAATGAGGTTGTCAGATGAAACCTTCTATTGGCCTGACGTTTCGATCTTCTTTTCTTCTTCAGAGACCTGAGAATGGCTTGAAGCTTTCGAATTATAACCTACCCTACCCGACAATCCATCGTCTCGCATACTCGTTTGCAAATATTACCGGGCTGTGAGGAAGCGCTCGGAACAAAAGGTTGGAAGCGCTAGAGCGAGGAGGGCGTTTGGTCGAGAAGGGAACTAATTGAAAAATTCGAGCCTTTTTCAGGGGCCGTGATGAAGAAGACGAGATCGTAGAAACATTAGCAATAAACTTCTAACAAGCTCGGTTACGCAGAAGAGATAAAGGCAGAACCCCGTCGATCATTCGAGCCATCTCAGGTCTGTGGGACTAGGGTTCCATATAGAACGACAGACGGGTTCATGACTAACCGATATATCGAAAAAAAGCACAAACATGGCATACGCTGACGCCTCGGATGGAAGCGGCCCATTTGATCTCATTTTGTACGTGCCCAATTTACTGTCTCTCACACTACGCCCTCATACGCACAGCTGATTCACCGATAAGAACTCTACGATCGTACAAGTTACAATTTAATGCTTCTGCAGTCTCGTTTTTCACTGAAAGCCGGGCATTGGAGGCGGAGTCACTGGAAAAAGGAGGAACCACTGAACCTATATTGCGCTATAGCGCCCCTCCCTTAGAATTTTTTGCCGCGAAACCGGTACAAGGTTGTTCGTCGCGGACCACTCTAACCTCCTGACGCCATATTTTCAACTTCGATACCTGATCGCGGACGGTCCCTTTAAGAATTCAGCATCTGTTAGAATGTATCACATTTCAACCTTTCTACAAATGTTGAGTAAGCTGACTCATCTGGATCCTCCTTGAACGGTAGAAATCAGAAGAGCCAGCCTACTCACCATTTGTGCCTAGTTCTTTCTAGAGGAAACGGAAAAGGCATGTTCGCCTTCCTTTGAACCTGGTCATTTCTAACAAATGTGAGGAATGTTCCTCTCATTCTTTGTTCTTGTTCTATTCTTCTCTTGTTCTTCTTTGTAGCAGCGGACAAGTTTTGTATGGCGGAAGTTTTATTGTGCCTGATGTTTGAACAAGTTCGTCATTATCAGAGGCCTAAAAGAGGAGGTTTTGCGAGTAACCTGTTATTGGAGTTTCTTAAGCGTTTATAGTCCGAAAGGCAACTAGTTGAGATCAGGTTTATGTTAAGGAAGACAAACAACATTTTAGAGCTTCCGGATATGTTTCCATGCATTTGATGACAGCCAACTTGTCCAGATGTCAGGTACAGTAAAAGTCCCGCCATATAAAACCTGTCCGGCACAAAGAAGAGGACTTGATTGAGAAAGGCCCAGGTTGCAAGAAGGGCAAATGTGGAGCTAACTCTCTTCTTTCTTCCAGGAAGAACTGGCTACAAAAGAGTTAATGGGCTGACTTTTCTGGTTCCTTTCGAGAGAACTCGCGCTAAAGCGGGGATCTTTAAGTTGTTCTAACGGCTGGTGCGGCTGATTGACCAAGGGAATACTCTGCGAGAGCGTGTAACGAAAGTTTATTGCGTATTTAACAAGACTCAAATAACACTGAGATCTAAAATCTATGGGTTTATATTCAAATGGGGGGGGGAGGTGCTGAAATACCATTTATCAGAGCCAGTGGCCAATTGGAGAACAAGTTCTTCATTGCGTGTCCTTCCCGGAGGACTCCGAAAAACGTAACATTCCTCGCCGGAATGTGTGTCTTCCCTGGAGTAGTTTGAAGAAGAACTTGCCGGGGAACTGGGAGGACGTCTACTTCTACTACATACTCCCGACTCAGTGATCTAATGCTGGAAGTAGACCATTAAGAAAACATAGGTGAGCATTCTTATGGGTCAAAAAGCCCTCGAGAGCTTGAAACTTGGTTATGAGTAAGATAGGTGGCCGAGGGTGGTCATACCCCTGGAAGGTTGAGATTTAAAGTTGAAATTCACTTTGGGAACCCAGATGCTCCACTCGCAGCGATCAGTAATCGAAGACTGAATAGTATTTTAAAGGCAGTTGGCACGATAAATCCTCCAAGTCGAGTAGGACTAATGCACCTGGCAGGACGGAATTCCGCGACCCTGAGCAGGCGCTGCATAATGCCTTCGAAAGAACAAGCCACAACATACCGAAAAGCCCGCCCGCCCGCCCACAAATGGACGACCGTTCCTGACGCTCTAATCGATTCATTTGCTAAGCAAATTATGAAGCGAAGGGATTGGTATGAAGCGGCCGTGATGCTGCATGGATATATGAGTACACATATGCAGCCGTACCTTCGGTAGCGGTTATTGGCAAGATGCCTACGGGAAACTCGTCCAAAATTGATTTACACAGTGAGAACGGAGGCTCTTTCTTCGCAGGATTTTGACCGTTTCACTCCGTTCTTTCGCCATTTCCCCACTATATAGCGCCCACTAGCATTTTAGGCGAGCACCAAATCATCGTGCCAACTGCCTTTAATGCTTGTTGACCAAGTTCTAGGGAGAAAGTGCTATGTGGATCGTATCCAGGAGGATGAAACAATGGCTTGTATAGCGCGCGTCTTCGAAAGTCATTGTATAGGCTTAGTTGTTTTCGGACACACTTGTGATTTTTTTCATCAGTGATTCATCACTAGTTTATACCAAGTTTTCATTCGCTTATGAGGTAAGTATCTTCCGTGATTGAGAATGTGTTTTGACACCTTCAGAACATGAATGAAAAGCCAAATTATAAAATAAAGCACCGCAGAGAGACACAATCATGACACACCATGTGTGTCACGCGGTCCGGAACGTGGTAAGTGGGTCCCGAAAGGGAATGACCAATGCCTAAGGAATCGTCCGACGCCGTTCAGCTTGGATTTGCATTTCCAGAATTTTGCACTTCCGCTAGTTCCTTGCGTCAGTTCACGTTGAATAACGGGTTTCATTGGTGAGACCTGTGAATTCTTCCGAAGCTGCGAAATGGTGCAAGTGCTCCGCTTTCTTCACAAGAGTTAGCAGCGATTCAGAAGCTGGCTTGCACCACCATAGCTGAGAAAACCTCCACCACGCCGTACCGCGTCCTTCATCCTTCATATGTTCATGTTATGTAATCAAAAGTAGCGCAGGGGCTAGATTCGATGCTCATACATCGATATGGTGGAAGCTCACCGAAGACAACTAGCACTTTGTTCTTTTCTCGTATATGAATTAGGGTCATGCTGGCCGGAATGACATCGGCATCGACTATGTGCGCTAAATTCGCATTAATTCTGCGATTTCGAATGGAGCTCGAATGCATGGTGCAACCTGAAGAGACTGCGTTTTCTGATACCATAATCCTCAAACCGAGTGGCACTGGAAGTGTGAGTTTTTTGCGCCTGAGAAGGTGGCAAGATGTTTTCCGAGTGAAAACTGGAGAACTCCTTAGAGCGACCTCAACGAACCCAAAAAGGAAGTTCTCCCGAATCGGCTTTTAATTGAGTTCTTCTCTCTATTCGGAAAAGCCCTCTTCACTCATTTACATGAATGCAAGTTGAACCCTAAGCTTGGAATTTTTCTATGTTGGGTCGATATCATGGGCATTTCTGCAAAATTTCTCGGTTTTTCTATTTATTTATGAACTTTTCTCTTGATCACAGACCGGGCAGGTTTTCCCGTTAGAGAAAAATTTTCAAAATATGATCCTCCCCTCAAAATTTCCTTCTTTGGAATCTGGTACAGGTCAAGATGTCACAGTTCGGCTTGAGGGGGTGAGGGTACCGAATGGCATCCATCTGAGCCTTACAGACCAGCTTGTGAAGTCCTGCGAACTCTTGTGCCCAATGTGACTCAATAGAACCATTTTGCAGCTTCACAGGAATTTTCAGGTCTCATCAAAGTGAGGCATTTTATCTG